TAGGGAAAACAGAATTGCTTTTTCAATAACCATTTTGAAAAGGAAGTGTTTCATTGCCCCAGGGGTGTGTATATATTAACCCCTTCCACCCAGGGACAAGGGTTTACTAAGTTCCCACATAAAAGGGAGAAGCCTGGGACTTCCCTGGTGGTGCAGTGGTTAAGAATCCACCTGCCAATGCAGGGGACACGGGTTCAAGCCCTGGTCTGGGAAGATCCCACATGCCGCAGAGCAACTAAGCCCATGCGCCACAACTACTGAGCCTGCGCTCTAGAGCCTGCGAGCCACAACTACTGAGCCTGCATGTCACAACTACTGAAGCCCATGAGCCTAGAGCCCATGCTCCGCAACAAGAGAAACCACCGCAGTAAGAAGCCCGCACACAGCAACGAAGAGTAGCCCCTCCTCGCCGCAACTCAAAAAAGCCTGAGCACAGCAATGAAGACCCAACGTAGCCAATAAATAAATAAATTTATTTTAAAAAGGGAGAAGCCCGGGTCAGATCTTGGCAGGAAAAGCAGCCAGGTGAGGGTGGGCTCTGAGCTCATGGAAGTGACAGGCGGGACTCCAGCCTGGCCCTGAAGAGGAATGTTCTTCCCTTGGGCAATTAGGGGTGGGTGATTAAGGAGGACTTGACCACCCAAGCTCTATGGCAAGAATCTGAGGGTTCTACAATGGCCAGCGGACTCTGGCTGCAAAAGGCCAGTTCTGAAAACCAGCCAGTCAGAAAACTGGCCCCTAGAATTGTTTGGGGACATGGAGGCCCACGTAACCATCTTGCACAAGATGGACAAAAGACCTTGAGGTCAGATTCTAGCTCTGCATCCTCGACGAGTCCCCTTTGGGCCTGAAAATGGGGTAAACAGTATGGAAAAAAATGTTCCAATCTGTAAAATGGAGCTCACAAATCTTGCTTAACCTGTATAGCAGGCATTTACATGGAGAGTCCGATGAGAGGATGGATGTGAAAGACCTTAGAAAACTGCAGAGGATCACACATAGGTGAGGAGGAGCACTGCCGCTATTGTCAGGCTATTGCTGTGCTGCTGTTGTCACCACCACAATTACTACTGTCCCAGATACGGCAACGGAGGTCCAGAGAAAAAGTGACTTGCCCCGCCGGGCAGAAGCCGGTCTCAAGTCAAACTCCCCCACCTCCAAGGCAGGCACACGATCTTTCTTCCCCACAAACTGCCACTAGACCTTGGAGACCAGATGTTCACAAATGGAAGAGAGGTCAGTATCAGCAGACAGAGCTCTGGGCCCCTTCCTGGCACCGCCGCCACGCACTCTGGGCTCACAAGGCAAGGCCGCCAGTGGGCATGAGGGGCTCAAGGAACCCGTACCCTTGACGCTTCCCTTACCAGCCTGTGGCCCCTTGCTCAGCCGACATTCGTCCAAAGTGACTGGGAGTGGGGAGCAAGGGTATGTCATTCATAGTCCAGTGCCTGCATGTGTGCCCGGCAGCCCCGTGGCCTCACCTCCCATCTCTCCTCATTACATCCCATTACAGGGAGGTGAAGCTGATTAACCAGAAAGCACTGAGTCAGTCATTATCCTATTGGCAGGCCCTACCTCAGAACCCACACGGTCAGACAGGCCCTCGGCGTGTCCGCGTCATTCTGAAGGACACTGCATGGCCAGACTGCTAGAAACAGAGTTTGTGATTCAGGTCTCCTCCCCTGAGGCCCATCTCTACATGGGCCTAATGACCTGTCCCCTAATGTCGCCTCCTCCATGACTTCTCCCTGTGCTCCCAGCAGAGGGAACGTCTCCATTCATCAGGGTCCATAGCACCTTCTCCCTCACGTTGCAGGTTCTGAATCCATGTCACACTGCACCTGTGTGGCTGGAGGCTGAGCGGATGCCTGATTCATCCCGCCCTCCCTGCCCTGGATGCCGGCACTGTGCCAGGCTCACAGCCAGCATGTAAGAAATACGCTGGATAAATGAGCATCTGAGCGTCTGAGCAAGTGAGTAAATGGATACCTGGATGGACTCCTGTCACATACGAAGCCCTATAGTCTGCCCAGGCTTCCAGGGCATTCCACGCTGGTTGAACTCTGATTAGACTCTGAGTTTCCATGAGAATCACATGAAACACAGGGAAACACAATCCCTAACACCTAACGTCTGAATTAAGTAAATAAGGGCTTAATAGAAATGCCAGAGGTTTTGTGCAGAGGTATGGCCCTCGCTTGCTGGGTGACCTCAGACAAACCCTATCCTTTCTCTGGACCTCTAGAAAATGAGGGGGTTGATAGCTTGCTTCTTTAGTCCCTGCTGGCTCTAAAATTCTGTAATATTGTCAAAGGTTTGCAGGTAACTTTTCTCCCAGATTCTGGAGGGAAATGTAGGCCTCATCCAAGGAAGGTTCCGGGTTGAGTTTCTTTTCTTTCTCCTCCTGGGTCAGATGGAATGTGGCTTCGGCCATCTCTCCGAAGGGCTCTGAGTGGGAGAGGCTGCCTGTGATGGAAACAGACTCCCTGAAGCCCAGGAACTAGAGCGTGTGAGATCAGCTCTTACCAGCACATATGACTATGTCATTCCCAGAGGAGGTGTCACTCGACTTGCAGGAGAAAGACTGAAATCCTGAGCACAGTCTACGAGACCAGGCCCAGCTCCCCAAAATCTCCTCCCACCCTCCCCAGCCCATTCCCTGAAGCCCAGTCACACTTTCTTTCCATTCCTCACTCCTGCCACACTCCCCCTGACCTCAGGATCTTTGCACTCGCTATTCCCTCTGCCAGGCATGTTCTCCCCACCACATCCCTTCGGGGCTCAGCGTAAGCCATTGTGGCCTCCAGGCTGGCTCACCATCTGCTTTATGCCTTTAGAGCACCTCAGACATCCCCTCCTCAGCGCCTAGCACACCTGTAATCCGTGACCCTTTGAGTAAATCCTTCTTTATTGAGATTCTTTTAAACGTCTGTAGGCTCCCTGAGGGCAGGTCCAAGCCTGTCTTGTTCACTCATGTACCTAGTGACTGGCTCCGTGCCTTGCACATAATAAACACTCATCAGTGTTTGTTAAGTGAATACATGACTTGCTGGGTGGCCTTAGACAAGTCTCTTTGCTTCTCTGGGCCTCAGTTTCCCCATCTGAAAACAAAGTAGCTAGATGGTCTGTGAGAGCCCTCATAGGAACGGCACAGAGACAGCCAGACTATCGTAGGATGGTGGTCCGAGGCCTTGCTCACTCCTCCCCATCCAAGGTCCCCTCCAGTACCTATTCTCTCCACAGGAGCCTGTGCTGCAGCCTATACTGTTCTGAGTGGCTCTTCGGGAAAACTTCAGAAGCATATCCTCTAATCAGCCTGTAGAGGAAGCTCAGCAGGCCAGTCCTCCCCACCAGGACCAGCCAGCAAGTGCTGGGGGAAGTTACTACTCACAGGCCTCTGTGACGCACCCACGAGGTGGGAGCTCTCGGCAGCCGCCCGTGCCTGTGAGGTGTACAGCCCAAAGCCTGTCACAGACGGGGCACCAGGAAACAGTCTCCCGAATCGAATCTGGTACTGGGGGGACCTTATCCAGGCCCCAGGAGCCTCTCACTGGGCAGAGCCTTTCTGATGTCATCTCTGCAGCCACAGGCAGTGACTGCTTCTCGGCCCAGGTTAGAGCAGGGAGCTGCTCAGCAAGGGATCATCCTGCTTCCTTCCCTCTCTTGCAAATGACCCAGCTGCGAGTTTGTCCAATGAGACACTTCCTTATTTCCAGACTCTTGGATTCAGTTCTAAAAGCATGACAGGACAACGTGACGAGAAGGCTGACAGTAGGGGACACGCCAGTGTCATCATAACCTGGTTTATGGCCAGACGGTGCTTACATATTTCCACCTGCACCCTGACTGACAGGATGATGACCCAAGACCACCTCAAGTGGCCCAGAAGATCATTACACCACCCTGTGCAAAGAGCCCTGGGAAAAGACACCACCCCATAGCAGTGGCAGAGCAGCCAGACACGGCACAACCCCCCGCCGGCCAGAGAGAGGAGGCACCAGGGCAAGCAATTGAAGAAGCCCCAGACACACGCTCCAGACCTCGTGGGATGCTGCCACTGGCCAGGTTTGGCGGAGAACGAGAAGCCCGGCTCTGAGTAGAAGCTGGCACTCTCACCCACTCCCCACTGAATGCCTTCGGGTGGGTCACCCAGGCCTGCATGCGGGTGGCAGGTGTGGAGGCAGCGAGTCGGGGGCATACCTGCTCGGGCTTGATGGGCTCTGCGGTGGTGAAGATGTCCGAGTAGTGCTGCCTCTCAAACACGCGGTCCAGCACCTCCAGCTGCTGCTGCGTGAACAGGTCTCCCCGCATCTGCTTCCGGAGGAAATCTCTGCCCGTCAGTGAGTGACCGTTCGGCACAGGAGACTCCTGAATACCTTTGATGAGCATGAGAGAGGAGGGGTGAGTGCAGGTCACGCAAGCTGCTGGGGAAGACATGTCAGACCCTGGACTGGGAAGAGGGCCTGAGAGACCCACGAGCCCAGCTCCTCCCCTGATGAGAGAGGAAACAGACAGGGGCTCAGACGCGGGGGTCTTTGGCCAAGGTTGCCCTGCTGGTTAGGCCAGAGCCAGCATCCCACGGGCACAGGCCGGGCCCTGCATGAAGCATGCGTCATTGTATCTAATCCTCACAATGAACCCTATGTAGATGGCATTATTTCCCCCATTTTGCAGATAAGAAAATTGAGGCCTAGAGAGATTAATTGATTTGCCTGAGGACTGGAGCTTGGGTTGACTCAGAGGCTTAACCATCAGATGCCACCGCCTCTCCTGCTCTGAAGATCCCCTTGGAGGTATAGTTTTGTTCCAGAGCTGACGCCCTTCCCCAGGACAACTGCCAACACATCATGTGACCAGCCAACAAAACACTGTGTTAAGAAGGCTGTAAGGAAACAGATGCTCTCACACAATTCTGATGGGAGTCTACCTGTCACACACCTGTGATGGACAATTTGATAAAATCTATCAAGATCACAAATGCAAGTTCCCTTTGACAGAGCAGTTGTACCTCTGGGAAATTCTTTTACAGTCAGACTTACACATATGGGAAGTAATATATATGCAAGGTTCTAGTAGCAAAAGACTGGAAACAACCCAAGAGTTTATTTGTAGGAGCTGATTAAATAAGTTATGGTATGCTCACACAGTAGAATTCTGTATGGCAACAAAAAGGAAAGAGGATTCCATCTGTGAATTGATATGGAAAGATCTTCAAGATGCATCGTTAAATGAAAAATAAATAAACAAGATGCAACACAGCATGTATAATATACAACGTTTTAGGCTTCCCTGGTGGTGCAGTGGTTAAGAATCCGCCTGCCAATGCAGGGGACATGGGTTTGAGCCCTGGTGCCGGAAGATCCCACATGCCGCAGAGCAACCAAGCTCATGTGCCACAACTACTGAGCCTGTGCTCTAGAGTCTGTGAGCCACAACTACTGAGCCCGTGTGCTGCAACTACTGAAGCCCGTGCGCCCTAGAGCCCGTGCTCCGCAACAAGAGAAGCCATGGCAATGAGAAGGCCATGCACCGCAACGAAGAGTAGCCCGCACACAGCAATGTAGACCCAACGCAGCCAAAAATAATAAAATAAATTTATCAAAAAAAAATATACAACGTTTTGTGTAAAAAAGGAAGAAAATAAGACTCTACACACATTGTGTGTGTGTGTGTGTGTGTGTGTGTATACACACACACACACACACACACACACATATATGGCTCTGGAAGGCAGCACGAGAAACATTTAGAGTGGTTACCCATTCAGGGAGGTAGGAGCTAAATGGATGGAGGCAAAGGGGAGGGAGACTTTTCAAAGCATGCTTGTTTTCTTTTGTTTCCTTATAGAACTTTAAATGTATTGCCTATTCAACAAAATGTAAATTACTAAGAAAGCACAGGATTAAGTTCTCTATGGGTTCTGTATTGTTAGCTCTTCACTGTGATGATGCCTACATTTCAAAGAAAATACTACGAATCATCAATTAAAAATTAAATGGTTGAAATATCTTTCATGAGCTTTGGGCTTGAACCATTCAAAATGAGAGAAAAGGAGGATGAAAGAGTCCAGTGAGGAAATGGCCTGCAAGGCCATCATTCCCCAGGGCCCTCTGGGACCGAGTTGCTCGTGCAGGGCTGCCCAGAGACACTGCTGGAAGCCAGGCCCGGAGCTGAGGCCTGCCTTTGCCATTGGGAAGCCCCCGTGGGAAACCAGCGTGGGTCCGATCTCTCCCGGGCAGGTGCCCTTACCCAAGGCCTTGCCCAATCCCCCTCCCACCCCCCACCCCACCAGTCCACTGCCACCCCAGGCTTCATCCATCATGTCAAAACCCCACCCATGTGAGGAAAGAAGCTGAACCAAGGAGCTTGAAGCAGTGGGATATTGTGTCCCTGAGACACTGCCCCAGGTTGGTGCTTCCCCAACTGTCCTACCCAGGGCAACTGCAATACAGGCTCTGACATTTGAACAAAGACACCAGCTTTGGGTATTCACATGAGTGCTCGCCTTTCAGAGTCCCCCGTGGCGGCTGACAGCTCAGAGCACCCCAGCATCCTCGACAGGAAGGGCCTTTTAGAAGTGGCTTGGGATGCCCCTGAGAAAATGGATCCCAGATCAATTTTGACCCAAGAGGATACCTAAGCTTGGCTGTAGACTGAATGACCAGACACCCCAATGTGTGGGCCAAGGAGGGAGCAGGTCTCTCTGATTGATGTCCCCCGGTCTAAAGCCTGAGGCCCTCCTCTGGAAGCCTGTGACACTGGCCTTCCACGAGACAGGTCCCTGCTCCTGCCCACAGGACATCATCCTCAGAGATCCCTCTTTTGTCATGGCCTATATCCATGGGGATCATTCCCACAAGGGCACCAAGACTAGCAGGATGTGGAAGCTCACGGCCCAGCCTGTGTCTGCCCAGCAGTGTTCTCCCATTGGCTGGCATCCACCAAGTAGCCCATGCGTGCACAACTACACACACACACACACACACACACACACACACACACACGGGAAGGAGGCTCAGCTCGCTCCTCCTCGGCTATTGCTCTGGCCAATCATCCTGGCCCCAGTCACTCCTGCCAAAGCTTGACCTTGGCCTGGGTCCCCAGTGCTCCCACTGAGTCTCTCCCTGTCAGAGAGACCACGTCCACTTTAGGAGACTTTTCCCTGGTCACCAACTTCACTTATAGTCCCCAGCCCCCATCCTGCCAGCCAGACCCTATTAAAGGCTCCTTCCTACCTGCCAGCTCCTGACGTCTCCTGCCAAGGCTTCTCCCTTCTCCCTTCTGCTGAGCCCCCTTGGGCAGTGCCCACCTCTTCCCTCCCACTCAGGCTGTCCCCTCAGACACTCCACATCTCTTCCCCTGGAGGAGGCCTCTCCCTGGCAGCCAGCCGGTCCTCCCGCTGATGTCCCCTCCCATGGGCTTCACAGGCTGGGCTCTGCGCACAGCTCAGAGCTCTGGAAAGGCAGAGCTGTACCTCCACTGAGGAAGCTCTGAGGAGATGGCTTCGCTGAGGGCTCCTGTGGGCAAGGTCACTGTCCGGTCACCAGGGAGACCCTGGCACAGAGTTAAGGCTCAGGGCACATGCTGACTCAAGTGCATGCACTGGGGGTCCTTGGAGGACCAGCGCTCCCCCAAGACACCGCACATTCTTCAGCACAGGCAGCCGCGCTGGGGCCTGCTCTGAGTCTCCCAGAAGGAAGGCTCACCGCATCCCACTCTGGCCTTCCGACAGTCAGCCACAGCACCATGGGCGGAGCCCAGGAGAGTGTCCAGGCTGTCTTGGTGACCCAGAGACTCGGAATTGAGGACTGTAAGCTGGGAAGAGGCACCTCTCCAGGTATTCGGCCCAATCCTGACCCCTCTGACTGCTCCCGCCTGCCAGCACCTGCACCTGCTTTCTCTCCTTGGGAAGGAGGTGAAGTCTACCTGCCACTTTGCACAGAAAGTCTGTCATTTCCTTAAGAAGGCCTGGGGCACTCCTAAATATACGATCATTTATTCATTCATTTAACAGATATTGATAAAGAGTTTACTCTGCACCAGGTAATATTTTTAAAAAACCAAACACAAGACAGAGGATACACCGATGACCAAGACAGGCCCCACTTTGCAAACTAGAAAGGGCAGCCCACTTTAGTCAAGTGCTCACACAAACAGATATGATTACAAACTGTGATAAGTAGGAAAAGTGCCTAGAAATATATTCAAATGGCCATGTGTAATGACCTCACGGGGAGGAGTCAAGGAAGTCGCCCAAAGCGGAGGCATGCTCGAACTGAGAGCAGAGGACAAGATGTCAGCAGGGCAAAGTGGGGGATGGGATGGAGGGGGTGTGCCAGGCAGAGGAGATGAAAGGGACAGAGGGAGTGGGAGGAAGAGACCCCAGGAGGCTCTGGAGAGGCAGGCGGGGGTCCTGTCAGGCAGCCGCAGAGGCCACGATAGCCACGGAGGTCATCTGAGCCTCGCTGGGGGGAGGGGGGGCCATGGAAGGGGGCTGGGGAGGCAATCGCCCTCCACATTTCTCAGTCCCAGGGCCTGAACTGCTAGTTCCTGTAGATCAGGCTGTGCTTTCTAAGCCCTGCTCCCAAGGTCTGGAAAGACTAGGAACTGGCAAGATGAATTTTACATTTGTGCACATTTAGAGGTGATGCCCGGAGTCCGCCTGTCAGCCACAGGTGATCCACAGAGCCCATATGGAAGGTAAATCACTCCTCATTGGCGTGGGCCCTGTTGCCAGGACAAACACTAATCATGTGCACACATGCCACCTCCTCCAGGGTGTCTTCCTTCATGCCTCAGTCACTGCTCCACCTGACCACTTTCTCCCTCATCTTAGGAGTCAAGCCCCTGGGCCCTTCACTCTCACATAGCACTATTAGCTCCCTTGGGGAGAAACACCACAATTAATTCATCTCTGTCTCCTCCACAGAGAACATCTGTGGAATAAACAAATTAGTAATACCACCTTCACTCCGCAGGTCTGGCCTGTAAATGTCACAGTCCCTCCATGTGACCCATTCATTCATTTGTTTGTTTGTTCTTCTCTCAACCAACCTTAGAGAGCAGGTGCTGGGCTAACGCTGGGCATAGAGTGATGCGCAAAAGCTGGCCCAGCCCTGTCCTCATGGAGTTACATCCAGTGGAAGAGGCAAATGTTAACTGAAAAATAATCAGACCAGTAAAGGTGCAAGTGTCAACCAAGACAAATATTCTGACAAAAAGGCTCATGGTTCTCAAAGGCCAGGGACATGGCTGACCCATCTCTAGGTACCGCAGACAGTGGGTGAGCATGAGTGAAACATTACATGCAAAGAGACAGCTACAAAAGTGAACACCAGAAAATCACACCCTGCACAAGGACAGGTCTGAACCTCCA